TATCTGCTTCTGTAGATTACAGGCAAGAAAATCCCATGCATCAGTTCTACTCTGTAAGACATGGGGTCGCCATGAGTTGTAATCATTTGAAGGCAATTGGTTTAATTTTTTAGATAGTAGTAGAAACTATTAATTTTTTAGATAGTAGTGTGAAACTAATTGAATCCCCTGTGGTTAGAGAACTTGGTCCTTTCCTTTTGTCTTTGAATTCATTGTGACCATCACAGAAAGTAGAGGTCAAAAACTATAATATCTAGAGTAAAGTTAATCCATTTTTAAAATTTTTCCAATTGAAAATATACACACTCCTCACTAATCAACATGGTTAGGTTCAAAAGACAAGGTCTTTATTGAAATCAACATTGTGTGAGAGTTGGGGGCCACATCTTGTCTTTTAGGCCGTTTGTTCCCTCCCCATTGCTCACTGCCTATTGGGCTCCTCCCCACGTCTCAGGATATGTTGCGGGTCCCCCCTTCTTTACCACATCTTATCCAACATGGCAGAGCCCGCAGTGTTTGAGGAGGGTGGTGGTGGTGGTGGTAAGGTGTTGCCCACCAGTGCCCTCTGATGCTTGCCCTGAGTGGGGATCCTGCCTGCTGGCTCTGGCCGCCCACCCTGGGCAGGGACCTTGAATGTCCGTCCTCTCTGTACCCTGGCCCTGCAGTGCTGATCAGCCCTCTGCCCTTTCCTTTCCCTTTGCCGCCTCTCCACATTAACCTCCCCAGCATCTTTACCCAACTACAACCCTCTGTGACTGGATCAAGATATAGTGGACAAATGGGAGAAGACATCCTGGTGCTGGTGAGCTGCTGTCCCTCATAGGGCCTGGTTTTTGCCAGGGCCTAGAGTGTATTACTTAGAGTGGCCCTGTGTGGGGCCTAGACCCTAAGAAGCACTGCCTGAGAAGTTTTTCAAAGTTATCATAAATGCTAAATGTCTAATAATGAGATAGTTGCTAAGTGAGGTGTAGGCATACTGGTCTTGAATTGCCTAGTTGAGAACGTCACTCACTTTGAGATGTTTAGAAAGTTGGGAAGGTATTGCTAAGTTACATTTTTTTTTCCAGGAGCCATGTTATGCATACATAATTTTAGGCATTTTAAAGAAAGTGCTTTGTCTCATAGGTGTCTTTTTTAAAGCAGCTTGATTTATAAAGCATGTAGCCATCAGAAGTGAGATGAAATTTTACAGCCCTTGTAGCTATAGTTCCAGTTTACACTTGCCTTAAACAACTTGTTTAAATCTTAAAAACTTGGACATTGTTTTGTTTCATGAAGCTCATTTTGTCTAAATGTTTTGTGTATAATTTCAAACTTATGAAAAAGTTGCAAGAATATTCAAAGAGTTCAGGTATACCATTTACCCATGTTTACTACTTCACATTTTATCCATTTGATTTATCATTCTGAATGTGTGTTTGTGGGTGGGTGTGTACAATTTTTTTTTCCTCCTGAACCACTTGAGATTAAGTCCCATAAATATGCCTTTTATCCCTAAAATCATCATGGTATACTTCATAAGAAAAATTTCCAGCTCTGTCATTTCATCTGTATTTATTAGTTGCGTTTTATTATAGTTCTCCCTTTCTCATTTATTTATATCAGAATGGTCTCATGATTTTTTTTTAATACTTAATGAATTGTAATCCTTACTGCCTTATTTATTTTGATACTCAAATTTTTCATATTTGGCCAGTGGGAGTACATTTTTATTGCTAAAACTTTTAAAGTCTGTGATGTTTTCCTTTCATCACTGCTTTAAAAGTGACAGTGTTTTTGCCATCTTTTTTTTTTTTTTTAACAAGTAATATTATTTCACTTTATAATTCCCCTAACATCCAGGAAATGTTTAATAGAAGGTCTTAAACATTTTCTAGTGGAAGGTCCTTTTGTTTGTTTTGTTATTAATTTCTACTTTTAGCATTAGACAGTGTTTGTAAAATGTCTGCTCTCTGGACATTAATGATCCTTTTGTTTTGTGACTTAATACACAGTGTTTTGTGAATGTTCCATTTGTGATTAAAGAGAAGGTGATTTCTATTATTGTTGTTGTTGTTGTTATGTGCCGTCAAGTCAGCCCCGACTCATAGCGACCCCTCCTTGGGTTTCCGAGGCAGTATCACTACGGAAGTAGGATTGCCCAACCTTCCTTCCGAGGAGTGGCTGGTGGGTTTGAACCGCCAGCCTTCTGGTTAGCAGTCAAGTGCTTTAGCCACTATGCTACCAGAGCTCCATTTCTATTATTAGGTTATCCATATCCTCCTGAAGGAGCCCTGATGGGGCAGTGGTTAAGCACACACTGGTAATTGAAAGGTTGGTCGTTCAAACCCCACCAGCCACTCTGTGGGAGACAGATGTGGCAGTCTGTTTCTCTAAAGATTATAGCCTTGGAAATCCTAGGAGACAATTTTCTCCTGTCCTGTAGGGTCACTATGAGTTGGAATCAGCTCCACGGCAGTGGGTTTATATGTTCCTGAGTGAACTTTCATAGTTTGTGTCCTTCGAGTAATTTTTCATTTCATCTAAGGTTTTTAATTTATTGGCTTAACATTATTTATGATATATTCTTTATAATATAATAATATTATGCTTTTAATGTTTGGATCTGTAATGATGCTTCATGTACTGGTAATCTTTTGCTGCATAACTTACTACTACAACATTTATTATCTACAGTGTCTGTGGGTCAGGAACTAGGAATGACTTAGTTGGGCCTTTCTGGATCAGTGTCTATCATGAACTTGCAGTCAAGATGTGGGGTGAGACCTGAGTCCACTGAAGGCTTGATTTAAACTGGAAGATTCACTTCCACAATTGCTTATTCAAATAGCTACTGGCTGGAGGCCTCAGTTTGTTATGTAGTCTTGACCAAGGGCCTTAGTTCCTCACTATATGAC